CCAACAGAACGGAAAGTCGGCCTGGCCCCTGAGAAAGCGGCCCTTCCCAGGCTGGTCCGCACGTCGGCCTGGGCGAGGCAAGTGCCCCGGAAGTTGGGGGCCAGTGCGGGGTACAGGGCAAGAAGGCTGCCACCGGGAGACCGGCGCGTCTGGGGGCTGAGGGAGGCAGGGTGATGTCCCCATGAGCCTGACTACTGAGGCCTCCCCTGCAGCCTGCCCTGAGAACGAGTCTAGGGGCCCGGGGCCGCGGACGGTGGTCAGCCACCCTCGGACCCTCTCAACCCCTTCTGAGACTGGAGTCTGGAGGAATCCCCAGGTCTTAGGTGCGGTGACAGAAAGGAAGGAGGTGAGAGAGGGAGGAGGGCAGGAATGGAGGAAGGGAAGGCCAGCGCGCTCCTGCTCGGGCCCAGTCCTAGCCCTAACCCAAACCCACTCCCCACCTAGCTTTGGTCCTCTGACTTTTCTGGGTTCTGAAGGGCCACCGGGCACAGTATATTTGCATAGTTGTGGTTCTGAGGAGCCCACAGCCTGAAAAACGATGTGACTCTAAGCAGGGCCAGAGTTGGCGCTTTTATCTCAGTGCCCCCTCCCCTTCCCACCTGCCGGGTACGGGGGTGGGGGACACAGGGGCGGGGCCAGCGGTGAGGCTGGGGGAGAGCGCCTACGCGACGGTGGCCGGCCTCCCGGCACCCCTCCCTGTGGGCCCAGCAGGGTGGGTGCGTTCACGTGTCCTCTCTGCTTCTGGCTCTGTGTTTTCTGTGGCTTTTGTAACCCTGAGGTCATTATAGATCTTGCTAACTTATCCCCTGGACACGAGACCTGTGTTGTCCTAGTCCAGTGTTGTTTTCCAAAACTAGAAGAGGTAGCCAGTCATATTAAGTGAAGACTTGTATTCTACTCCAAGGTATCTTCCCCAAATCTTCAAAAAGTCCGGTTTTAACCCCATCTTTCTTCCACAAAGCATTTTACATACAACTAGTAGTCCCAGCACTGACCTCAGAGGTCCTTGGTTATAGTACCCGGTTGAGTCTGCTCCTTGCCCTGAGTCTGGACCCTTCTGGGGCTCTCTGGCTAGCCAGGAAAGTCCCTGCAGAGTGCCTTGCAGGTGACTTGAAGTCCCTTGAGTCAGTGCTTTCTGGTGGGTTATCCTCACTCAGACTCAAGCCCTGCCTTCTGTGGGCAACTCTGTCTAGGCTCAGAGGACACAGAGCATACCTCATGCCGTCCATTTGATGGCTCCTTTGCTTGCTGAGTGTGACATTCTGTACTTTGCAGAGGTTGGGATGTTCTATGGCGCTATGACTAGGTGAGAGGTTTTGTTGTCAAAGCAGACAGTGGTAAAAGCCCAGTGACACACGCACAGGGAAGTGCAGCACAAGTGCTGATAAGGTCCCGGTCATCGTCCTTCTCCCTCTACCCCCAAAGCCCCACAGCATGAAAGGATGGCCTTGTCCCTATGTGAAAACACCAAAACATGACCAATAACTACCTTAAATAAATATATTTTTAACTTCTCCACTGGAACACAGAAATGCTTTCAGGAAGTAAAACATGCAGAAAACACGGGGGCTTGTGGCAGCCACATGGCCTTGTCCTGCCTGCCCCACGGGCCAGCGTGGTGGGGAGGTACGGCGGCTCCAGCACTGGCTGAGCAGGAGATCTGCAGTGACCACTGGAAACTCAAAGCTAAGCAAGCAAGTAAAATCACACTCTGAAGAGAAAGGAGGGGCCACAAGAGGAAAGTTGCTGTTCTAGGAAAAGCCTGTCTTTTCACAGGACAATGACTCATCTACAAGGAGGAAGAGAGTTCTGTCGAAAAATACTTGAAATACTCTCTCAGTGGGAGGAAGCAGCTCTTCACCAGCCTGGCCGGGCCAGAGCTCTGGCTGTAGGGCCCCATCCTCTGCCTGTCCTGAACCAGCAGGGACAGCTCTTCCTGAGGGCCCAGAGCCGCGTGCTTGCTGTGGGAGAGAAGGCAGACTGTCACCAGCCTCAGCCCCCACAGTGGGCTAGGAGGGGGCAGGCTGGGGGCTCTCACAAGGGGGGGGTGAAGGCAGCTGAGGGACCAAGGTTGGCCCCCAGGAGCCCCAGTGGAGTCACAGGCAGGTCCCAGACAGCAGGTCATAATCCTGCCACAGCTGCCAGCTGAGGACGTGCTAGGAAAGGGACTGGGGAAGGGGTAGGAAGAGGCTTCTAGAAAATCAATTTCAGGCAGAACATGATTCAGCCACCTGGAAGTCAGGTGCTGCTGCGGGGTGGATGCAGAAGTGAGGGGATGGGCTGGCTGCTCAAGGCTCAGGGGACAGTGCCAGGAAGACTGCAGGGCACTGGGAGGGGGATTTCCCAAGAGGGGCCCTTGGTGAGGATGCAGGGAGGGCATGGGGGGCCAGTGTATGGTGGGTTCAAGGACCCGAAGAAGGTCAGTGCAGCCCACATGCACTGTGGGGTGTGAGCACATGCATGAGCGTGAAGCCAAGCTGGCATGAGTGTGAGTGGTCGCCAGAGCCTATGCAGCCCAGCCCATGCCCATGACTGGACGCTTAGGATGGCATTCCTGAGACGAGCCCCAAGAAGCGCTCATGCAGACTGCAGAGGGTCTGGGTGCAGGGGCACCACCCAGCTGCAGACACGCCCTGGGGCACAGGTGGGCTTGGCTCTGCTGACAACCTGAGTTTTCTCTGACCCCATTTCCCGGTGAGCCCTGGCTCTGGGTCCGTGTCCCTCCCAGCCTTGAGAGGCCCCTATCTGCCTGGAAAATACCTCCTCACAGCAGGGACATTGCTCCACACATGCACGGCGTCCTGGAGGGCTCTGCCACTGAGGTCCTGGATGGTCACAGGCTCTGTCTGAGGGGGAGGGACAACTGTGAACTGGGACCTGATGGCCACAGGCCTCAGCCACCGTCTGGCCCCACATGTGGCTGGCAGACCTTCCTGGCCCACCACATCAATTACACTCAATGGCATGGGTTACGTACATGTCACACCCTTTTTTCTTATAAATCAACTTAGAAGAGAAAAAGCTGATATGCTGTCTTAGACATTTTAACCAAGAGATTCTTTTTTTTGTTGTTGAGACAGTCTTGTTCTGTCACTCAGGCTAAAGTGCTATAGCATCAGCCTAGTTCACAGCAACCTCAAATCTCTGGGCTCAAGTGACCCTCTTGCCTCAGTCTCCTAAGGAACTGGGACTACAGATACCTGCCACAATGCCCCAGTAATGTTTCGATTTTTTGCAGAGATAGGGTCTTGCTTTGCTCAGGCTGGTGTCAAACTCCCGCGCTCAAGCAAGCCTCCCCACCTCAGCCTCCCAGAGTGCTGGGATCACGGGCTTGAGCCACCTGCCCGGCCTCACGAGTAGATTCTCTGTTCCATAGGTCAAGCGACCCAGAGATGTCCCAGACCTGCATTGGGGGTACTCTCAGGTAAGGGGGTGGCCAGACCCCCATATCCAGATATATCACTGGGGACTGCTGGAGAGGGTAAGGCAGGCCAGAGAGACCCACCTAATGGACTTCCAGTCCAGAGCCAGCAGACAGCGTGTACCCTTGTGACATTAGGTGTCTCCATCACTGGCAGGAATGAGACTCCATAGCAAGGCAAGTTTACAGAAAATACAAAAGTTTCTTTTTTCTGTCACTACTGATTTGGAACCAATTAATTTTGACCTACCACACTTACATGCAAAGCAATCAAAAGTCAATGTTTTTTCATCCTCTAAGTTTGTTGATACCTGGTCCCAGATTTAGGTCTTTTGTGGGACCCACGATTACTTATTAATAGGCTTGTTGGTAAATAATGCCACTCACAAACCTGACCCCACCTGCTGTTATGTGGTATTATGTCCATATTTTTAAAGTTCCCAGATTTCTTAGTGAAGAGAAATAACTACTGAAACAGAAGTAAGAGACTTGTTAGGCCACCTTGTCCAACTCCATGAAAAGAATTCTTAAATCTTTAAATAAATTACATCTAATTTATGTACATTTTGCTTAATGTAATTTAACAAAATGAACCCCGGAAAAGATAGCAAATCTTTTTTTTTGTTGGTTTTTTTTTCCTGCAGTTTTTGGGCGGGGCTGGGTTTGAACCCACCACTTCCGGCAAATGGGACCGGCGCCCTACCCTTTTGAGCCACGGGCACCACCCAATAGCAAATCTTAATAGGTCAGTTTCTGTAGAAGAGCTACTTTAATTTTAAAACAACAGCAACAAACAATCCAGACTGTTTCACAGAAGTCTGTCAATTTTTCAAACATTTTTAGGAAACAAATGTAACATTGACACCAAAACCTAACTAAGTTTGCACCATACAAGAAACTACATTCCAGCCCCTTCCGTCCTTTCCAGTGAATGTCCTAAATGAAATTCTGAACTCAATGCCACGTTGAAGAGATAATACACTCTGATTGACAGGCTTTTCCAGGAATGTGGGATGGTCTATTACTGGGAAGTCTAGTAGAAAATTATATTTTATTGGCCAGCCTGGTGCCTATAGTCCTAGTTCTCTGGGAGGCGGAGCAGGTGGATTGCTTGAGCTCAGGAGTTCAAGACCAGCCTGAGCAAGAATGAGACCCTGTCTCTACTAAAAATAGAAAAACTAGCTGGGTGTTGTGGCAGGTACCTGTAGCCCCAATTACTTGAGAGGCTGAGGCAAGAGGATCGCTTGAACCCGAGTTTGAGCTATGATACCACAGCACTCTATCCAGGGGGACAGAGTGAAACTCTCCCTCAAAAAAAAAAAAAAAGAAGAAGAAAAGAAAATTATATCTTACTGATAGATCTAAGGAGGAATTGTATCTCCGCAAATATCAAAAAGAATATTTGAAAAAATCCAACCATTCCTAACAAAAATGCTCCAGTGAATGGGAGTCAGCGGGAACTTCCTAACAGAAAAAACAAGAGCTGCTTCAGCCCCCAAGCCATCAGCTTCACAGGAGGTCAGGAACAGCTTGACATCACTGCCACTGCTGGGACCCAACTCTGTCTTAGAGGTGCCCACAACAGAGACAAGAGAATATTCTAGGCATATAGCCAGAATTAAAAAATGATCCAATCAAATACACAGCAAGTCTGGTTGGATCAGCTGGAACTCCTGCTGCCTGTGAGGTGAGGCAGCAGAGCAGCAGAGGCCAGGTCAGCTCAGAGGCACATGGAAACCTGGCACAATGGAGGACACTCAGAAAGCTGTGACTTTGTGGATGAATGCCACCAGAAGGGCAGGAGAGAGCTCACGCACAGCCCGCAGTGAGTGGCACTTATTGCAGCTGGTGCAGATGTGAACGGGACAGCCCTGGTGGAAACCACGGGGCAGTATTTGTGAAAACCCCACATACAGTGGGGTTGGACCCAGAAACCTCACTCCTGGAATTTGTCCTACGTGGGCCTTCCTTGTAGGTCTGTTTGTAAGAACAAAGGACAGGCGGCGGCCTGTGCTCTGTGCAGAGGGAGGAGGTTAGATGCATTTTCACATCCACACAGAAGGAGATTGCCCAAGAACAAAATAAAATAAAACACAAGGATGAAGAAAGGAGGAAGAAAGTACTTTGGTAATGGAAGGATTTCTAAGGCACTTTAAGAGAAAAACTCCAGGCGCCAACGGCTGAGTGCCAGAGATTGTGTGTATGTTCATGAATATCCAGCAGGCCCTCAGGCCACGAGGAGGACGGGAGACTTTGTCCTGTTCATTTTAAATCTTTTAAAAGAAAGTTTGAACTACATGAACATGGCAAAGATTTTTTGCAGGAGGGAGCTCTAGGCCCAGCCAGGGGCTGTACTATGACAAGGGGGCTGGCAGGGCCCCAATGTGCCTAGAACCCATGAGTTCATACTCTGGTGCCCTGAACCCTTCTCCTGCCCTCATCATGGCCCACATGGGAACTAGCAGAATCTTATCACAGCAAGCCCCATCTAGATACCCACACCCTCTCCATTTGCTGGGCTCACTTTCCAGACACTCAATGGAGCCCCCTCTCCCCACCTGCTGGAACCATGACCCCATCCGGCCCTCTGCAAAGGTGATGCCTGAGGGTCCTTGTCCTCTCTGTAGGTAGCAGGCCAAGCCCCACTCTGTCCATGGCCCCTCTCTGGGACCTGAGAGGGAGATGAATTTCCTCTGCCTGAGCCTCGTCCTGTGGCTGAGACTTTGCCACACCACAGGCAGGCCTGGAACCCAGCCCAAGTCAGCCCTGGGCACGATCTGTCACTGAGCCCAAAAGTGGCACTCTAAGATCAGGGCTGAGATTCAGGCCATGCCCCAGAGGGTATGTTCACATATGCAAGTGTGTGTGCTGTTCACATGTGTGCAGGCTGTGTAGTGAGTGAGACTGGGTGTGTATGAGTGGACATTGCATGTGCATGTGTGCAGATCAAGAAGGCAGGGGCAGGTGAATCCTGTGGCCGTGTTCTGAGAGCACTGGACGTGTGCAGCAAGTTCCTCCTCTGAGGCTGTCCTGGAAGGGGCCCTGTGTCCCAAGAGCCCATGATCTGTGCCTCAGTCGCATGCCGGATCCCATGGAACCAGGAGTCCCAGAGCCTGGGGTGTAAGCCAAGCCCTCCCCAAAAGCCCTGTGTACGGGTGGAGCCCCCCACGCACCTCCAGGAAGCGAGTGGCTGTGGCCTGGTCATCTGTGCCCAGCACTAGGTTGTCCACGAACATCCAGAAGAAGGGCCGTGGGCTGCCTGGTGGGGGCCGTGCGTACTGCAGGAGCCGGTGGAACTGGAACAGGTACCAGCCTGGGCAGGAGGGCGGGAGGGCTGGCCTGAGGGGCTCCCCAGGCCTGCGGTTCTGGTGTTTGGGTCTGTGGGTCCACCCGCCCTCCCCCTCATGGGCCACAGAGGGCCACAGGGGCGTGCCTGACCCTGCAGCCTCCTGCACAGACGATGGCAGAGCTACAGAGCACAGCTGTCTGCAGGGCCTACAGCACTGGGTGCCTGGCAGGGATGGGTGGGAGGGCTGGAGGGTGCAAGAAAGTCTGTGGGGTGATGGGCCATGCTGGGCTCCTGGTGTGCATTGTCCAAACTCACCCAAGTCACACACATCCCATGAGGACGCTTTACAGTGCTGGTGGGCCTCGATAAAGCTGTTTCTAAAAATTTGAACAATTATGGTTTCTGCTCTGCCTGAGGGGGCTCTGGTGGCGTGGTCAGGGAGAGAAGAGGGACCCTGGATGACTGAATCCTGGAGAAGCCCATTTCACCCAGCATCTCACCAGGCGGATGGTAGCAGGTGTGGCCCAGGGGCGGTGTTGAGCCGTACACGAGGTCAAAGGGGCCCCACTCCTCCACCTGTGGGACAGGCAGGGAGCAGGTTTGTGTCTTAGCAGGAGGGATGTGGCCAAGAAGAGGTCGGGAGACCAGGGCTAGCTCACCACAGACACAGATGGGGCAGACCAGTGGGGCACCAGGCCAGGGCCATCCTCACCAACCCCTCAGGGGACACAGGCGGAACCCACAGGTGGTCCCTGAAAAGCACCTCCACTCCAGCCACTGCCCTAAGAGACCCAGTCCTGGAGGGAGTAAGTGATTTTGTGTGTTGTCAGGGAACATACAGTGTGGCTGTGGGGGCTGGCAGCTGGGACCTAACACAATGAGGTGCCACATACGCCCCTCATAGCAGCCAAGTGCTTCCTTCCATCAGTGGCCCACCTGGAGGAAGACAAAACCCAGCTGCCCCAGATCCTGCCTGAACAAAGGCCAGGCAAGGGTGCTCTTCACCCACAAGTGATCCAAGGCCCCCACTCTAAGGTGACATGAGGGACACTGACTTTGTTAACAGTGATGCCTCAACCCCTGTGCCATTCTCCTAATAACAATTAACAAGGTAACTCAAATATCAGACCCCCATTTGCTGACAGCACCCAGTCCAGGGAGGCCCCTGTTCCTTACACCACCCTCAAATCGCTTAGTAATAGCTGGACTCTACACCAGGACCCCAGACCCCCTGAGGCTCTCCCACCACGCAGCTGGTGGCAAACCTGACTTCTGGGGGCCCTCCCGGGACCCACAGGTGCACCTGGCCTCTGGCATTGGCTTTGTCAGGAGGAAGTGGAGGTGAGGGCAGAGGTGAGAGCCGGCCAGGTCTGCACCTGCACCAGGAGGCTGCCAGTACTTATCTCATGGCCTGAAGTAGCTGGCAGGAGAGGAGGAGGAGGAGCCAGAACTGAAACGGGTTGTAACCCTGAGGAAGGGAGTGTGTTCCATTCCTAGAACTGTGGCATTTCCTCGAAGGGCCTGTAGGATGTTTTCAAGCCTCTCCCCACTACTCAGTTTGTGGGGCAGCATCTTTATTTGAGAGGGAGAAGGGGGGGCAATCCCCTGCTGGGCAGCGTCCCATCACAGGGGCAGAAACCGGCCACTTGTGACAGGGCATTTGGCTGACCACCCTGCTCTGGGTCTGGGCAGTGCAGGGACCACAAATGTGCACTCAGACATCCTGCTGTGGGGGCTCAACAGCGTGGGTGAGGTGCCAACTCCTGCCAGGCCCAGGGCCCCCATGCCCCTCCCTGCACACCTGAGACGCCTTGCCCCTCCTGTATGGCATCTCTCTCCACCCCCTAGAGCCCCTGGACGCCCGCTCTCCTAGGTCTGAAGTCTGAAGGGTGGCCATACTCACATCCCTCCTCACAACGTTCGTGACGTCATCCAGGTGCTTCAGCCTGCCTGGGCCACAGCTGGTCCCCAAGAATCCCAAACTGGTTAGCTCTGGACAGGGGATGAGAGGCCCAGAGGGCTGATGGGGACTTGGCTCCTCCAGGGAAGAGGAAAGTCCGTGAAGGATCAGGAAACTGTCCTGGCGTAGCTAATGAGCAAAGCTTCTTTTTAATGCCATGGCAGGGGTCTAAGGATGGAGATTTCTGTGTTATAAGCTAACCAAATAAACTTCACTGAGTCTTGTTTTAAGGAAGTCAAGCAGTTTGCTGTGAAACCAGGCATTTCTGGGCTGTGAGGTCCCCTGCTGGTTAGGAAACCCACAGGGCAGCAGAGCCCAGCTGGGCAGCGAGACCTTGGCCAGGCCATGTGCATTGTGTGTCTCAGGGTCCTGGTGGTGGCAGAGCTCCCACAGCAGGCAATTCTGAGGACACTATGGAGCACTCAGCAGGGTGCTCCAGAGGGGACTGATCCTGCTGCCACTTGGGCAGACTGGGGAGTGTCCTCGTGGAATTGTCTGTGTCTGCCAGGCCCAGAAGATGGGATGGGATTTCCAAAGGCACCAGGAAGTGGGGCCTGGGTCCGGGGCAGGACACCAGTTGGAGGGGTGGCTTAGTGTCTGGAAGTTCGGGTAGAGGAGGGTGCAGGGAGCTCTGGGAGCAGTGGGTGGCCCTGTGAGGTAGTCAGGTGTGTGGAGGTGTCATCCTGTAGATGAGTCTTTGTCCTGTCACTACACTTACCTCTCTTGATGTCCCCAAAGAGAGACAGCACTCGCACTGGCTCTCTTTTCCACACAGGCACAGTCTTATACATCTCAAGGGGACTCTCCTGTTTATTTACAAAAGAGAGGAGGTCATGTTGGCTATTTGGTTTACGGCGCCCTTGAGCAATGACTGAAATTCTTCCTGATACAGTGGTCATCCTGTCCTAATCCTGAGTGAATACACCTGAGACTCCCCAGAGACACCTGCTGAGCCCTGGGTCCTGTCCTGACTAGTGCTGAGCCCCATGAAGGCTGACTCCTTGCCATCTCCAGCAAAGGGACAGCAAGTGTGTGGAGAGTTTCCTAATTTTAAGAGGGTGACATCACCCCAATAGGAAACATTCTGTAATTTCCCAGCATCCAAGTTGTCCACCCAGGAGAATCTGACCACATATAGCACATCTTCCCACTTCCTATGTCCACCTCCTCACTAGCAACCCTGTCACCCTTTGTGGGCTGGGAACATCTGAAAGCTGCCCAGGATCCCTGGGAAGGACCCTGCTGCCCACTCTCTGCTGCCAGTGACCTGCTGTGCCAAGAGCTGGCCCCTGAGCCCAGCCACAGAGGAGACTCACTGAGGACAAGGGACACAGGAATATCTTAGGGCACAGCCAGTGATGTTGGCCAGGGGACAGCACCTGGCTCTCCCAGGCCAGAAGACCGGGTCAGTTCATTTGTAAAGTTGGCACCCCAGCGTCCCCTACCCCCATCGGTGGTAGCACTTGGGGGTGCCTGGCTAGAGGCAAATACAGGACGGGCTATCAGCACAAGGCCTGAGTAGGGGGCAGCTGGCTGAGTTCTGGGCTCTGCGAAGACTCCAGGCACACTTGGAAGAGAGGGGCGGGAGCCTAGTGAAGCTGTGCCTGCGGCCTTGGAGTGCTGGGGCACGTGCCTGACTGGGCCCTGGTCTGTGCAAGGGCAGCCTGGTGGCTGGAGGAGGACAGACCTCAGACTTGGCCTCGAGTGCCGAGGCAGGAGCCTCTGGAGCTAGACTCACAGCCAGGCCCTTCCCTCCAGCTCTGTGTCTGGAGATGCATTTAGCAGCATCTCTGAATGTCACCTCAGTTTCTTTTGGAGGGAACTTCCTCCTGCAGGCTTCGACCCTTGGGTCTGTATTAAGCTGGGAGAGAAGCTTTCTGCCTTGAAGGGGACTTGAAAGAGGGCTCCATAAGAAACGTACTCGCCTTACTTTCCAAAAACTATGTTGAGGACTCCTGCGACAGTTGTCACACTAAACTGGTGTCAAGGAGACTTTGTGGGACGTCTCTTGGCCATGGGCCTGCACACACACATGTCACTGTGGAGTGGCAGAGTCTGTGGAACCCTGGGCTGGCTCTGGGAAAGGCAAGGCCCTCAGGGCGGCAGAGGCCTTCCAGGTCACACACCCTCTGCTAACAAGACCGACCAGGTGGGCAGATGCCTCCCTAGAGTGCCAGCCCCACGGCCACAGACCTGAGGAGGATGCGACTTTCAGAACTCCAGGTTCTTTCCCTATAAGCGCTGCCGCCGTCTGCCCCTTTTCTGCTTCAATCAGGTTGAATGTTGCTGGGCAAGAAGAGATAACTTTGCCCAGCTGTGAAGAATGCAGGCTCCACCGGGTCCCAGGCTCTGTGTGGCCATCTCCCCAAGGGCCCGGCTGTGAAGAGTGCCGGCCTGCAGGCTCCATCAGGTCCCGGGCTCTGTGTGGCCATCTCCCCAAGGGCCCAGCTGTGAAGATTGCCGGCCTGCAGGCTCCACCAGGTCCCGGGCTCTGTGTGGCCATCTCCCCAAGGGCCCGGCCGTGAAGAGTGCCGGCCTACAGGCTGCACCAGGTCCCAGGCTCTGTGTGGCCATCTCCCCAAGGGCCCGGCCGTGAAGAGTGCCGGCCTGCAGGCTCCACCAGGTCCTGGGCTCTGTGTGGCCATCTCCCCAAGGGCTCACCCCCTGCCATAGCAGTTCCCAGGAGCCGCCAAAACAAATTAAAATTAACTTGGTGGGGTGGGGGGTGCTTAAAACAGCAGCAAATGATTCACTCCTGTCTCAGCAAGCCGGAGGTCTGAAACCAGCTGCCACGGGGGGACTCCCTCTGAGGGGTCCTCTGCCCCTCTCCCAGCTCTGGCGCTGATGGCAACCACTGCTCTATAGGTAAAAGGCCTGTAAATAAGCCTTTAAACAAGTCCGTTTTGTGAGAGCAAGTTTGAAGTCCTTTGTGAGCTGGAATGCTGGGAAATCTGGGTAGAGCTCTCTATGTGGCTTAGGAAATAATCATGTAGAAACGATTTATGGACACCCGACCATCGTGTAACACTGCTCCCATCTCTGGATCTGTCGTCACATGGCCATCTGCCCTGTGTGTCTTGATGTCCCAAACCTTACATGAGGACACCAGGCACTGCTCTTAGCCCCTCCCCCTCCCCACCCACCCAATCCAGAGTGGTCTCACCTCTACACCCTTAACTAAACTTCATCTGCAAAGACCCTATTTCCCCCACAGCTACTGGGTGTAGGACGCCAGCATATCCTTGGGGGAACAAAATTCAACCTGCTACACCTTTGAGGACTGGTGGTTCCTGCCTGGCTGCCTAGAGAGAGACCTGTCATCTGGCCAGCATCAGCTCAAGCATTTGGTTCCAAACGCCAGACTTGGGAGGCATGTTGAAGCCTGGCCAGCCAGCCTCTCCCACCTGCTGCAAGCTGGTGTAACTCCATCCTGTCAGAGCGAGTGAGCACTTTGCAGCTGGCCACGGGACGGAGCATCCTGGTGCCCAGGGCTGGCTGCAGCCAGGTCCTGCCCCTGCGCGGTACTCACAGACTCACGGTCACAGAAGGCCTTCAGCCTGGCCCGCCACTTGCGCCGGCGCCGCAGCAGCCCACTGCGGGAGAAGGGCAGGCACAGGAAGCACACCCAGTTGCTCATGGCTTGAACCTTCTCCGAAGTCCCCGGGCTCACCAGGGTGTCCACACACTCGAAACAGTAGCACCTAGAGTCAAACAGAAAACCACGGTGACTGAAGTGACAGTCCTGCAGCCCTGGGGACTGCCGAGCTGAGGCAGGCCTGCACTTGGCTTCAGAGTGAACCACAGAAGTCATGCCAGGCTCCTTCGAGAGACAAAGGGGCCTGCCCATCTCTGCACTACATGGCAGAAGGCAAGGCCAGACCTGGACAAGGGGGACAGGTTCTTCTTGGTAACTCCGAGGATAGGAGCCAAGCCAGAAGACAGAAACAAGTGTTTATGGGCAACAATAGATTTCAAAGAAGCCGTTAAGCCCCCCAGATTCTAGACTCTGCAGGAACAGGTTAAGGATGCCAGCAAGTCCGGATGCAGACAGCTGGGGGCGAGAATTTGAGGTGGGGAGAGCTGTGGACACAAGGAGTAAGGACAGAGGGACAAGCACACCCTGCAAGGTCCCTTGGTGGGGACTGCAGTCCTGCAGCATGGGGTTTCCATCACTCCACTACATAAAGACTGTGTACAGCAGTCTCAGCAATACTAATGCTGAAAATAGAGATCACAAAGGCAGATCCTGACAGCCCACCCCCATGTGTCCAGCTCTGAGCCAAAGGAAGTATTGGAGGGAAAGTGAAAGCCTTGGAGGAGAACCCCCACTCTGAACAGCTGAAGGATGGGTGTTCCCTCTGCTCCTTCGCCCTCAGCCAGTCCCCCCCTGGGGACCCCTGGCCTCACCGGGTGCAATCGGGGTTTTCGCAGATGAGCAGCGTCTCTCCGGAGCAGCAGATGGAGCAGTAGGACAGGTACCCGTCATCATCGTACAGGAAGAGGGCGCCCAGAAACTTGTCCTTGGCAAGGTGCAAAGGAGGCTGGTTTGTGTCCTCCCCTCTCCATGGCTGTGAGGAGGCCTCACCTGGCTCCCTGGCTTACCTTACACGAGGTACACATTCCTCCCTCAAACAGAGGGTGCTGGGTGTGAACCTGGAAGCTTCCACAGCACAGGCAGATGTCTAAAGTGAACATCCAAAGTGCAGTGTGTTTGAGCGGCTGTCAAATAGCAAAAGACTCAGAACACACTTAACAAAAACGGAGGGCAAGGCCTGAACACTGGAAACTGCAATTTGTGGTTGAAGGAAATTAAAGAAGATCTAATGAAATGGAAAGATGCTCCGTGTTCATGGATCAGAAGACTTAATATTGTTAAAATAGCAAGATTCCCTAGGCAGATCCAGAGACCCCTGTCAAAATTCCAGCTGGATTTTTTTTTTTTTTGCAAGAGTGAACAAGCTGATCCTAAAATTCACATGGAAATGCAAGGGATCCTGAATAGGCAAATCCACCCAGAAATAAAGTAGATTGGTGGGTCCCTAGATGTGAAAGAGGAGGGACAAGGAGGGAGGGATTCAGTGGCTGTTAATGGATACGTGTCTTATTTTTGGTGTGATGAAAATGTTCAAAATGAAGGTGACAACAGGCAAACCATTCATAAACACACTAGTCAACATTGAGCTGCAGACTTTAAATTAAGCTGCAGGGGCTTTGGGGTGGGGTATGGGTGGGCACCAGCAGCGTCCACTGCTTTCTCCTAGGACAACTGGGAGACGCTGAGAGGCAGCTGATATTCCCTTTTCCTAGTGGTGGGCAAGTGTTCAGACTCTTACCTTCTATGTTTCTCTGGTTAACTTTGACTTCATATGCAATCAGATCTGGAAAAGAAGGTGAGATGTAGCCCCTTCCTCCCACCTCCTGTCTCCTAATTTAAATATGGCCAAGAGGCTCAGTGCCCATAGCTGATTGGTTAGGGCGCCAGCCACATACACCAAGGCTGTCGAGTTTGAACCCGGCCTGGGCCTGCTAAACAACAATGACAACAACAACAAAATAGCCGGGAGGGTGTTGTGTTAGGCACCTGTAGTCCCAGCTACTTGGGAGGCTGAGGCAAGAGAATTGCTTAAGCCCGAGAGTGTCGGATTGCTGTGAGCTGTGATGCTATGGCATTCTACCCAGAGTGACATAGATAAATATAAATAAACAAATAAATTAATTAATAAAGCCAAGAAGTGAGCATCACAAATTCACCTTTGAAGTCTCAGGGGACTGCGGGTTCTCACCATCCCTGCCCCTCCCTCCCCCAGCCTTATCCTGGTGGGTTAAAAACATCAGAGCCTGGGAGGAGGCTCTGGGCAGGGACTTCTTGCTCCCACCTGGGCTGTGTGAATGATGCTTGAATCTTCCAGAAGCCCAGAACTCTTGACATTGCCTAAGTGTGGAGTCAGCATTTCATGCAGCCAGTCCAGTTAAGTAGACGAGACTCACCTCTGCCCAGCTTGGGTGAAGGGGGAGCCGACAGCTCACTGGAGCCTACCAGGATCACGTCCATGCCGGCCTCAGCTTCCAGGCTTAGGACTAGGGTAGCCAACAGGCCATGGAACCAGTGCAGGGACAGAGGACAAGGGACGTACACACACAGAAGCAAAAGAGCAGCCCTGGGCCTTTGCTTGACGGTCAGACTCTGCCAAGCTCAGGCCTCAAGACCCCCACAGTGACACTGCCACAGTGACACCCACCCATCCCAGCCCAAAAAGGAGTGGCAGGGAGAGCAGTGGCAGTCAGTGCCCACCCTGAGAGGGGCTGGGGGTCCCCTGGGGTGTGCCCTGGCCACAAGCCCGGCTACACAAGAGAGGGTGCAGGCCTCACAGGGGAGGAGGCCGACTCCACCAAAGCCTCTACCCACTTCTCTGGCCTGGCCCACTGGTCATAGTGTCTACCCTGAGAGGTAGGACTAGGGGTAGGGGAAGAGCCTCACGGGTTTCGCTGGGTGACTGCCACTGGTCCTCCTGCAGCTGGCCCGCTGGGTGCCGGACAGGGCTGAGGTCTGACTCGTCCAGGGTCTCCAGGCTCAGGGTATGGGGGAAGGAGAGGGCCATGGAACCTGGGACTTGTGAGGAAAGGGATGTGGAAGGACCCAGGTCTACAAGGGAGGTGGGGGTCTGGGGGCCCTAGGGCTAGGCGGAGTCTGAGTGGAAATGGGGGCGGAAGGGGCGGAGCAGGGGGCACCCTCAGGGCTCCAGAAAAGTGGAGGGGTGAGTGGCGCCTGCAAGCACTGAGGCCCAGTGGGTGCTAAGCAGGAACTAGTGAGCCCTCAAGCGGGGGGTGTCCAGGGGATGGGACCCCCATGTGGAGTGAGGGACGGGGAGTGGGGTGGGGCACTCAGGGGCGGAGCTTGGGGAGTGCAGTGGGATTGGGGATTCAGGGCGAGTGGGGGGAGGTGAGAATGTGGGGGGGCTCTTGGGGTGGGTAGAGGTGGGAGGAGCAGGGCAGTCAGGGGTGGGGCTTGGGCAGCTCAGTGCCTCCCAGATGGAGAAGATCCCTCTTGAAACTGCCAGTCGACTCGGCGCCTATAGCTCAACTGGCTAAGGCGCCAGCCACGTACACCTAAGGTGGCTGGTTTGAATCCCCAGTCCGGACCCACCAAACAACAATGACGGCTGCAACCAAAAAAAAAAA